TTAGTAAAACTCCAGATTTCTCCTTGTTGAAAACTAGTGTGATGATGGAAAGCTTTTTTCTGGTTTGATAATGAGGTATATTTTTCACCCTTTACTCTCCTGACTCTTTTAAATAGCTTTTATTAGTATAATCTATCCTCTTTATCTTGCTTCCCACACACAGAGAGAAAAATACCCCATAGAGAATAGTGTTCACATGCATTTATTAGTTACTATGAGTTTCACGCTTTAAAAAATTTGAACATGCATTGCCATCTTAACAAAGACACTGCACACTTGCTACTTGCTAAGCAAGTAGTACCTTACCTCCAAGAAACCTCACTGAGCAAAAACATTGTAATTCAGCTGCCAGGTATATGGAAGAATTCAATCTGTACTGAATACATTAAGGCCTTTAATGAGGATCTAGCATGAGAAAAAAATAAGGCTTAATATCACTATATGCTCACCAGCTTGAAGTTTGGCCCCGCCAAGTGAGACAATGTGATGCACTTTGAGTTCAAACTGCATTTAAAACCCTTCACACAAAAGCAGTAAGGCACCTATTCAGATATGTCTGAAAGAGAACCCATTTTGTCCACATTCATCTGAAATTATGGTCAGTAAAAAGGGAGCCTTCATTAGTGTTTTTTATTCCCACATAATAGGTACAATATTTTACATTTCATAAATTAGTCTTTAACTTGCCTGAACTCTCGACCTTTTATGCATAGTTCAGACATGAGCTGGGAATGCTCATTCCTCTGGCATTTATTTGGAAATCACAGCTCATGATCAGTTGCTAACACTTCAAACAGCATGTTTTTATTCATCTTGCTTACAGAGGGTTTTTTTAAATACCACTGCTGCTCATTAGGCCTTATATACTACAGTCAACACCCCTTCTCCTCAGCAATCAAGTAATTTATCAGATGATAGACATTTCTGTACAGGACCACCATAAAGTGAAAAATTAGGCTTGCTTCAACAGAAGCAAGTACCTCTGCACTAATTATCACCAGTGATACTCTTTCTTTCTAGAAATATAATATGGCAGATTGTGCTTTCAATAACACTAATGTAAATGCATAAAAATTCTGGCACATCTGCAATGTGTTTTGTCCAGATTCACGTAATCAAAGTTGGACAGCACTTATCTAGTAGAGCAGACTTAATCCTGCCCGGATCCAGAACAGCTGCCCTCAGCAGTACAGCTGACTTCAAATTTAGGGACAAGATCTTTCACCTCTGATCTGAGACACAAGTTCAGTGATATTATTATTGTTCTTATTAATGTGGCCCATTGTGTCTATAGTCTTTTTTTTTTTTTTTTAAATAACTGTTGTATATTTTCCACCCTCTCAGCTGACAAGAAGCAACAGAGGAACCGGGACACTTCTGGCAGTCAGAAATCTGACTCCAGGTGTACAAGCCAAACTTATCACTGTATGAAACGGTGAGAAATCCATTTGGTTAAATCATGGTTAAAATCATAGAATCATAGAATAGTTAGGGTTGGAAAGGACCTTAAGATCATCTAGTTCCAACCCCCCTGCCATGAGCAGGGACACCACACACTAAACTATGTCGCCCAAGGCTCTGTCCAGCCTGGCCTTGAACACATCTATTATAGAAATATTGTAAGGGATAAATATTAATGTATGTCTTCTTATAGGCTTAGGAATTTAGTCCCACAAAGAAAAAGCTCAAACCCTTTTTAAGTTTTATGAGGGCTTTGTTATCCTTTAATCTTATCAATTAAAAAAAAAAAAAAAGTGTTTCCAAATAGAACTTTTTTCTTTTCTTTGACACTTAAAATTCCAGTAAAAGATGAAGCCACTCCTCCACCCTGAAAATACTTTACAAAGGAATTTCTTGAGCATTGTCACAGATTAAGGATGACAAATCAGCACAGATTTTCATCTTTCTACCCTTCAATATAGTTCTTCACAAGACACCACTAAGAAAAGAACTGGAATTATGGGATGCAATGGAAAGTTAAAGAGCTGTGATGTTACATGCAATGAATGGAGTTAAATCAAATCTGCTTATTTCAGCAACCACCTTTCAGTGGCACGTATGACTGGTCCCATGCAAATCACTAGTCCTGAGTTTCAGTGGAGGTTTGCCTATGCAAGACAAGATGAACCCAACCAATTATAATCACTGCTTCCCTCCTCTGCAGTAGAAATTTGTGCTGTGACACATGATACCAGCTGCTGGACACTGGCTACTGTAATAAAAGTTAATTTGCAGGATGGTATGGGCTGCATTAATTTTCAACATGGCAAAATGCTAACAGTTGACCTAACCTTGGGCCAGTGTTGTTTCATCAGCAAACTGAAAAAGGAAGTAAGTCATGAGTCATATAAAATGCTGTAGATGATAATTATTTAGATTAGTCAAAGTCACAGGAGTCTGGAGGGATATTAGAGCAACAAGAGAACATGAAGCAAAAGCAGCACAGAGGCAGCTGAAATTCTTGGCAGCTAAATAGAGATTAAGGCATTTACCTAGAAAGAAGATACAATACATACAAAGTGGAATAGGTTCACTAAGGGACTGAAAGGACATTCCATGGCCTTCCCCTTTCCTCTTCTTCTCCCCAGTCCTCCAGAATACTCCACAGCCTGCTCAGTAGAAAACCCTGCAAGAATTATGGATGGTTTAGGTTAAATTTCCGTTTGGTATCAGGTAGAAAAGGGGTTAAACACCAAGCGTCTGATATTTCACTGAGTATCCTAGCTGTAAGCCCTTGGATTTGTAATTATATTTCTATGCAAGAAAAGAGAGCATGTGGAGCAGCCACATTACAAAAGGCCGCAGTGCCTGCTGTGGAACCCTGGAAGGAGCCCAGTCCATCAAGACAACTCTCGCTAAGCCCCTAAGGGGGCATCAAGAGATTATCAAACTCTGGGATCCCTCCTAGGACACTAGCTGGGTACCACACTGGCCAGGTCATGTAGTGATGTGTGACCAGGCACACAAATCGGACACCAAAAGAGACAAAGTGGGATGGAGCTACTGTCAGATTTTGGGCTCCCTTCAAGTCCCAGGTATTTTGTATCCCACCCCAAGATGCTCCTAAAAAGCAAAAGGCTCGTAGAGGTAATGAGTAATAGTCCATTTCTCAAATATGTTACCAGAAATTATACCCCACAGTGATGCTGTGAAAAGAGCCACAATTAAAAACAGTGTTTAAATTGAACTTTGACTTCTGAAACAGGCTTTTGGCTTTTTAAGTCATGGTCAGAAATCTGCAACAAATGCAGCTGGGGTCACCCAAATGATAGTGCTGTGTGTGAAAAAATATTCAGAGGAACACTCTGGGCTGCTGCTCTAAGCAGCGTGGCCAAAATTCACAGTCTGAGGGAAGGGACATGAGTAGCATCTGGGCCCTGCCTCCCCCAGGGCAGTTAGATTGGCCCCATTTCTGTTAAAAGGCTGGTTACCAGAGAAGAGGTTTAGGACAAACATGCAAAACTGTCAGATTCTGCACTAAACATTAGATTAATGTAAGATTTTTTGAGATCAAGAACCAGAAATTTAGTGGTAGAAAGACTATGGAAAGCACAGACAACTGCTTTAATTGAAAACTCAGTGGTGAGAGCGGGGGCGGGGGGAAAAAAAACAAAAAAAAAAAACCCCAAAAAAACAGTGAGAAAACCAAATGCTGACTAGATTCCCTATCATGTTCCCCCTCTGAAATGGGGACAAAGAACACACCTGGAATTTTCTAATCGAAAGCCAATGTCATTTCAAGCAAATAGCCCACTATCCACACAAAAGCTCTTCAGATACTGCAACATCAGACAGGAGACCCAGCAGCAGACAATCAGCTTAACTAAGCACCCCTTCGAGAGCAGCTCTCTCAGGAGAGACAGCTGAGCCATAAAAACTGCTGGCAATGAATGACATCAATGCAATTTACTGGCTTTCTTCACATAAAGACCTCAGCGTAAGGAAATGATTTAAGAGACAACTAAACTCTGCAAGAGTCATAATTAGCAAATAATAGGTTCCATTACACATATTAGTGTATACAACTAATTCAGGATAACAACAGAACAAGCTCTCCTTTTTTCCCCAAAAACATTTTATTAACATTACTTACAAATTTGTATTTGGAAAATACTGTAGGTAAAATTAACTGAAATTCAGTCATGGCTCAAATACAAAACATAAAAGAAGGTGCAATAATATCAACATAAGTATACTCTATCACAAGAAATACAACAGTGCCTCAAAAGAGGGATTACATGAGATGTGCAGAAGCTTCTGCTTTTCTGCTTTAACAGCCACTGCATAAACACAAACATCAAGATCCTCAGCAGATATAATCAGCATAGCTCTGATAAAAATCAATAAAAATATGCAGATTTCTTCCATACAAGGATCTGGAGCATAACTTGGCAGAAATTTCAAAAGTCATGAAAAGGTAATGGTAACGTTTTCATTCTAATGCTCAAGTAGCTTACTCATTTCATTTGTCAAGTGTGTTTTCTGAAAGCCTTGACTATGAACATAACTGTAAAAAACAGCTTACTTTAATGATAGAGCTGAAGTATGTAAAATGGCAGGGCAATAAACCTCTGAGTATACTTTTGAAAGGTTTCTTTAGTAAGCAGAGAATGCCAAAAAAAAAAAAAAAAAAATCCATGTCAGAGATTTCTCTCTGTCCTCTCCTTAGTCATACTAAGGGACAACTGATTTTTCAAATCTTATTTGTAAAAACTGAAATATTCTCCCAAGGCAGTAGTAACATTCGCCCATAAAAACGTGGAAACCTAAACACCTGGCTTTGCCAAAGTATTACTGCAAAGACAACAGAGCAGAAGAACCAAACTTAGGTTCATTCTTCTTCTATTATATGCAGTTCCTTATAAAGTGTAATTTGGAAATAAAAAGCCGTTCTGAAAGACAGAACTATGTCAGTGTATAAAACTGTGTGGAAACTATCTTACAAAAGAAGAGAGTGGAATCAAAAGAAGGTGTTTAAAACATCCAACTGCACATCAGCTTTAAGACTTAGGGTTGTATGTCTGAGGTTTTTTAATCAGTTTTCTCATCATTTTTCTGCGGAACACATTCGTTGGCTTGTTGATTCCTGGTTTCTGAGTTCCTGCTAAAAGAAGCAAAGGAAGCAGTTAGGAAAACAGTATGACAAAACTGTTACTACTCTTTATTGTTTGGTTATTTTGGGGGTGGGAGGATGTTATATTATACTGTTTAAGCAGTTCTCTCTGTGATATGATATGACATACCAGAAACTGTAATATGTGTCCTGGACACCCTATTCTCACAAACTGTAAGGTTTCCAATGTATAAACCTTTGGCACTAGAGCCCTATTTTGCTGTTCTTTTCCTCAGCAAGCATCAAAGTATTTTCCAGCTGTTTTGCAGTGACAGCAAAATGGAAGTAAACACAGTGCTCTATTGGGGGTGGGGGCATGGGGAAAATCATTGTTAATGCACCTCCCAGAACAACAGTGGATTTAAATCTAAAATGTAACCACTGCTTGTGGGAGACAAAAAGGCAAAATTATTCAGGTTTCTGCAGAGAACTGAGTTTCACACAGAAGCCTCAAATACATTTGAGATTAACTCTAGAAATGTTTACAGGGGCTACATGAAACGTGTGAGCGCAGTTGAGAATACAAATACTTTGTAAATTTGACTGAAAATCTTTGTCTTTATGCTACCAATTTACCAGCAGACAGAGCCCCTGTGACCAGTTCCCAATCATTTCACTGTCACGCCAACATATTTATTTTCCTTTCCAAAATAAACTGTTTAAGAATTAAATTAATCAGAAAAGTTTTAATTCCAAAAGCTGTGGATCGATTTAAACAGCAGTTATATTTGCCCAGTGAAGGTAAATTGTTTTCAACTTGAGACTCCAAAAGGAACAGGAAAGATGCTGGGGTGGGAATTGTGGGAGCAGAGGAGAGGGAGTAGCTTAAGTTGCCTGGAAGATTTGCTTAATGCTGTTGTACACTCCCAAGCTATAGAAATGAATATGTATAGCACAACATTAATTAGCACCAATTATGCCCTTAACTATGTGCTTTGGTTATACCAAGCCTTACTGAATTGTGAAATCCAGAAGTTGGTGAAAAAGCTTCTAAGAGATCCTTTATGTTTGGCTATCTGGTGCTCTAGTTGAGACAGGCAGTGTTTCCTTCTGTTTTCCACAAAAGAGTGAGGAAGGAAGGAAGGAAGAACCCCCAGGTGGATCTGGCTGGGTGTAGGCAGGGGCAGAGCACAGAGGCAAGACGCTGAAGAGGCAGTTTCCTTCCTCCTCCCTCTCTCTGCACACTTAGTCTGAAGCCTGGCCCTACCATTTTCCAGGTAGTAATAGATGCAAATTAGATAATCACAAGCACCTCAGATAGACTTAACTATTAAGACTCTCTTATAATACTAGAACAGCAGAGACATACTCAGGCTTGTCACCCACAGAAATATTACTGTCATGACTAACTGGCAGACAATATTTTTACTCCTGAGCACTGTGCTCAGCAAGCAATCCTTGCCACAGCCCTGGATTTACAGCCCAGAACTACAGAATCACATCCTGATTTAAGCCTTCTGACTATACATCTTAAATACTGAAGTACTTGGACCCTGTGCATCTCTTAGAGCTACTTTTGGCTTTTTTTCATTTCTTTTCCAAAGGCATGCTAGATACAGCCTTTTTTTTTTTCCTGTTAGTATCAACTGTTTAAATGCTGTTCTGGCTTTGCTTCCTGCATACTCTGGGAATCAACATACAATCATGTGTTTTGCTCTCTCATCAATTTACATATCAAATGAATTAAACTAGAGTATTAAAACTTGTGCTAGCTGGTACGAAAATATGACTGCAGGTAAAAGCACAACTGTTTTGGCTTCCAAGCACAGCCAAATGTAATAAAACTGTTAAGAAAAATCAATTATCATTGCCAACCTTTCCTCCACAGCCACAGAAACAGCTGACTCAGCACAACTGATGGGGCAGAAATCTTTAGTAATGGGAAATGGAAACAGGCAGCAGGGAATCAGGGGAAGGTGGTAGCTGCTGAAAATGCAAAGGAAAAGAGTGAATTGATTTCACACCTCACTTTAATCCTACTTAAAAATATCTAGAAGAAAATGATACCTTAATTAGTGTTCATGCTGGTAGTGAACAGTTTATTCCTGGTGGGCTCTAGTAATTTAGTTTGTCTTCTTGTGTGCCCTTCTCTACACTTCATTTAACCGTCTCACATCACACTGTTTTTGTCAGAAGGATTTAGTGTTGCATCTCAATTTTCCTTGCCTTTGAAAATATGGTGTCCAAATTGCAAAAAGCATACACTTGTAGCAAGCCAAGGTGAGTAAAAGCATGCTATGAGTACCTCTTACTGGTATTTGTATTGCTTTACCTGCTTGTGACTGACAAAATACAATCAATCTTACCCTTTCTGCAGACATTGTAGCAATCAGTCTCAGTAACGAAGTTATTGGCATTTCCACCACAGCCGGTGTATCTGAACTCTTTACATGATTTAGTCTTAGTGTCATAGTAATAGCGAGGCACAGAAGAAGAACACAATCCTTCATCCTTTGGGCTATAGCATAGTGAGGGACCAGCTTGAAAAATAAAAGCGGAAAAAAAAAAAAAAAGAGAAAAAATAAATTACATAAATGCAATCTCTGTGCCAGGCTTCTTAACATTTACCCTGCAATAAATTTTGCAGCTAAACATTCTTCCCATTGAATCGACGTGACTGTTACCAGTGACTTCAGAGATTGCCTACATCTGATTCCTCTGAGTTATGGAATTGAGAAAGCAACAAACAGACCCAGAAAATAGGATTACCATCCTACAAGTGAAATTTATCAGCTTTCCCCATTTGTGGTGCCATACATACAATAGCTGAGATATTCACATAGAATCTAACAATATATAATGATATATAACAATAATTCCAGTGGAATGACCTCTGTAGAGGAAAAAAGGCATTATTTTCTTTATCCTTGCTATGATTTTGCCAGCAAATCCTGCCCACTTGCAGCAAAATGTACAAACCCCACTGCCTTCGTCACAAAAATCATATTTCATTTTGCCTTAGCAAAAGTTTATTTTTCTTGCTGCAGACCTTTATCAATTTATTGAATGTGCAACAGAGAAAAATAATTCAGCAGTCACCTAAGAGGATGATGATAATCTGTCATCAGCCAAACATAACTGTCTCATCAAACACTAATAAAGCTTAGGCAGTGACAGTTTTTATACATTTTGGTAGATCTTTCTTCTTCAGAGATCCTATCTCACACTGGATATTAAGCTGGTTATTTATGACAACACAGCTATAGTCACCTGCCATAATTACCACCTCTCTTCTTTAAAGCTCATATGGAAAGACAGTGAAGAGTCATGCCAGGCAAAAAACTTCTATCACAGCCGTTGAGTGCCAAAGACCCAAGTCACCCAACACCATCTCTCAGACCTGAATTTTAGAAAGGCACTTCTGCTTTATAGCACATCCCTGAACGTGATTGCCACAATATCTCATGCATCTGCCTCAACAACACAGATCTCCAACCTTATTTCCCTTCAGATTACACATGTACAGCTCTCTAGAAGTCAAGAGGTTGGTTGGGTGCAGCTGTGGGCATATTTAAGGTCACAGTAAACCAAAACAGCTCAGTAACAGCTGAGACAAGTGACACAAAAATCTGCAGGCAATATAAACATCTGTTTCACAGAAGTGTTAAAAAATACCACTGTACAGGTATCCAGAGGAAAACATCAAATAAAATATCATCTTCAGGTCGCTTTCAAACCATCTATTTTATTAAAAATTTGGAACAACCATTACTTTTCTCTGGCAGACAGTGGTCCACACAAGACTGCAAATCTCTGAAGTTGTTGCCATTTCCATAACAGCCACCGTAGATGAACTCCTCACACCTCATTGAGCCCAAGTTAAAGGCATATCTTCTTAGATGGCTCCTGCAAGGTCCTCCATCAGCCTCCATCCGGCATAATTTGGGTACTTCTGCAAGAAATATAACTTCACCCTCTGTAAACCCTTTGTGCTCCCCATACTGAACATCATGGTAGCGGAGACTACATTATTACTCCAGCTGCAGGCAAGTCCCTGCTTGTCCCACTACCTATTCTTTAATTAAGTGGTAAAAGACTTAAGAGAGAAATCCAATGCATTTATTACCAGTTAGGTTTCTCTGCGTCAGGCAAGAGCAACCGATGAGGTGGGTGCAAAGCATCCCACCAGCAGTACACACACCACCACCACCCCCAGTGCTCGCAGAGGCATCTCCAGTCCCCACAGCCCTGGGGGCACTCCAAGGAACTGGGCCCCGACGGGTCAGCCCAGGGACCGGGGAGGATGGCGGGGCCGATCCCTGGACTCACTCTTGATGGTCCAGCAGCTCTTCTCGCAGTCCTCAAGAGTGAGGAAGTTGTTGGCGTTGCCGTGGCAGCCCCCGTAGGTGAACTCCTGACAGCTCTGCGTGTACCTGTCGTAGTACCAGCGCGGCACCAGGGCGCGGCAGGGCCCGTCATCGGGGGGCAGCAAGCAGGCGCGCTGCTTCTCTGCGGGAGACACCAGCGAACAG